CTTATGCACCGGAGACAAACTCCTTGTGTGTCCAATCACACTTGGCCAAATAAAGTTTCTATTCTATTCTATTCTATTCTATTCTATTCTATTCTATTCTATTCTATTCTATTCTATTCTATTCTATTCTATTCTATTCTATTCTATTCTACTCTACTCTACTCTACTCTATTCTATTCTATTTCTATTCTATTCTATTCCATTCCATTCCTCCTCTCTCTGTTGCTATCCCCCTACACACACACACACACACACACACACATACGTTTGTGTGTATCAAAGTCTCACATATTGAATCCAGATGTGTGTTGTTCAGCACACAGGCCTTCCAGCAATTTAATTAAATTTCCCCCAGACAGCCAGGAGGGGTCCTTCATGATCGAATTTCTCTGGACCTCTTCCTAAAATGCCCCCTCCGCTCCTGGCCTCCCTGCTGGATAGGTGATGGCTTCTCTCCAGGCCCAATCAATGTTAACCAAGGACTCTCATACTGTTTGGGTAAGAAAGGGAAGGGAGAGATAGAGAGATGGAGAGATGCATGGATGGGAGGGAGAGGAGGAGAGGGGAACAGAAGTGGGTGGATGGATGGATGGATAGATGAGGAGGGAGAGGGAGGAGAGGAGAGAGAAAGAAGGGAGAGATGGACGGATGGGGAGGGAGGGAGAGGGAGAGGAGGGAAGGGTTGGTGGATGCATGGATAGATGGATAGATGGATGGAGAGGGAGGAGAGGAGAGAGAAAGAAGGGAGATGGATGGATGGATGGGGAGGGAGAGGAGGGGAGGAGAGGAGAGGTGGATGCATGGATGGATGGACAGATGGATAGATGAGGAGGGAGAGGATGGGAGGAGAGGAGAGAGAAAGAAGGGAGAGATGGATGTATGGATGGGGAGGGAGGAGAGGGGAGGGGAGAGGAGAAGAGGTGGATGCATGGATGGTTGGATAGTGGAGAGAAGGGGAGGGGAAGCAAAGTCAACGGGCAAGTCAGATTCACTCAACAACCACGTTAGTAACTTAACCACTGCAGTGATTCACTTAACAACTCTGGCAAGAAAGGTTGTAAAATGGGCCAATATTCACAACTGTTTCTCTTCACAATAGAAATTTTGGGCTCAGTTGTGGTCGTAAATCCAGGATTACCTGTATAAACAGAGGGATAGAATCAAGATCTATAAAGTGTTAATACCACTTTATAAGGCCTTGGTAAGGCCACACTTGGAATCCTGCATCCGGTTTTGGTCGCCATGATGTCAAAAAGATGCGGAGACTCTAGAAAGAGTGCAGAGAAGAGCCACAAAGAGGATTAGGGGACTGGAGGCTAAAACATATGAAGAACGGTTGCAGGAACTGGGTATGTCTAGGTTAATGAAGAGAAGGACTAGGGGAGACATGATAGCAGTCTTCCAATATCTCGGGGGATGCCCCAAAGAAGAGGGAGTCAAGCTATTCTCCAAAGCACTTGAAGGCAGGACAAGAAGCATCGGATGGAAACTAATCAAGGTGAGAAGCAACCTGGAATTAAGGAGAAATTTCCTGACAGTGAGAACAATTAACCAGTGGAACAACTTGCCTCTAGAAGTTGTGGGTCCTTCATCACTGGAGGCTTTCAAGAAGAGACTGGACAGCCATTTGATCAGGATGGATAGGGTCTTCTGTGCGAGCAGAGGGTTGGACTAGAGGACCTCCAAGGTCCTTTCCGACTGTAATTCTGTTAAAAAAACCTCAAAGGGCAGGCTCGACAGACCACTGGGACTTTTTCTGCCGCCAGTTTTCTATGTTTCTATCAATAAAATAAACTTTTCGTTCAGCAGTAATCATCACGCATCCTGGCAATGACTTTCGCGAAATCAGATTTCACTTGGATTTTAAGGATTCGGTCTGTTCAATGATGAACGTTGAGGAAGATGGGAGAGAGAAAAGGGAAAGATTGGTCCCTGGGAATTTGGCAAATTTTTGCAGAGTGAGGCACGAGGGATGAACGGGGGCGGGGGTGGGGGCAGCGTACCCCTCTCTGAGAGAGGAAAGCTAATAAAGTCAACTTCGACTAGAATTTATAAATTGCAAACAGATGGCCCAGAATAATAGTGAGGTTTTTTGAAAGGGGAAAACGTCTGCACGCCTTGTCAAAGGGCAGATTAATTTCTCAAGATAAGAAACTGCTAAGTGGGAGGGGGAGCATTGAGGGTCCCCAAAGGTACCCCTTTCCCCCCACCCCCCACCCCCAAAACATTGCAATCATTCAACAGCCAGCGTTGCTCGGAAAATTCTCCAAGCGTTTCCTCTGCCCGGTTAGAAGGTTGCTAAACTCAGCCCCATTTCTGATTGCGGAAAGATTTTTCAATGCCAAATCTGAATCAGGAGAAAAGAGGAGATACCCACAAATCTATTGATTGATTTATCTGCACGTCGCCTTTATTATTATTTTTACAAATAACTCAAGGCGACACGCATATCCAGGACATCTTTCTCCTCCTGTTTTCCTCACGACGACAACCCTGTTCTCAATCAGAATACAGCTGGAAGGGGTCCTTGGGAGGCCTTCTAGTCCAACCCCCTTTTCAAGCAGGAGAGACCTATGCCATTCCAGACATGTGGCTGTCCAGACTTTTCTTAAAAACCTCCAGTGATGGAGCACCCACATCTTCTGGTGGCGAGCAGTTCCACTGGCTGATTGTTCTCACCGTCAGGAAATTTCTCCTTAGTTCTAAGTTGCTTCTCTCCTTGATTAGTTTCCACCCATTGCTTCTTGTCCTGCCCTCAGGTGCTCTTCCCTGTGGCAGCCCCTCAAATACAGGAATACTGCTATCATGTCCCCCCCCCCCGCAGTCCTTTTTTCTCTCATGCATTGTCCACCTGGCTACATAAATCTATATATAAAAAAAGCGGAAACCACTCACGCCGTCATCACAAAATCTCCAGAACCGTAAAGCCTACAAACTTGAAATTTGCCACGTATGTTCCTCTTGGTTTCTAGGTGCTCACTAAGAAAGGGTTTTTCGAGATGACCATCAGAGCATTAGTATTTCCTATATTATGATTAACACGCTCTGATGCTAAGGAGTTCTACTCCCCCTCCCCACCTGAAATCTGTTCCAAATGCAAAAACACAAGCAGAAGAGAGGAGTTTCACTTTCAGTTTTACTTTCACAGCAGCAACCAGGGGAAAGGATTGGGGAGACTTCTGTGGGGCAAGCCTGAGGGAGAGAAGGGGAGAGGAAAGGCCGATCGTAACTACTCATGAATTTTCAAGCAGTGCCAATTTATCAAGCCCGATCACATAGTTTCATAAGGAAGCACGGGTATCCAGCTGGTGTTAAATAAAAATCTTAAACTTAAAATCAAAATTCTTAAAATAAAATTTAAAAAATGCATCTTTTAAAAAACATATATTCCCGGCCAAGCGCGCCCTCTAGAGGTCGTTTGAACCTGAAACTCGGATGTTTTTCAGCAGTCAGAAATCTCTCTCCAACCTGCAGAGGGCAAAAGGGAAAAAAACCCCACATTATAAAACCAGAGGTTCTTTCTGCAATTTTGCAACCGAAAGCCTTGCTTGCATTTTTCTTTTCTTTTCTTCCGCTTCCTGCATTTTCCCCGGATGCAAAAAAAAAAAAAAAAAAAAAAAAAAAAAAAAAAAAAAGGAGAAGAGAAACCCGTGTGAATGGTCGGCTTCGGAAGTGCAAACATAATTGAGGAGTTTTTGATCCCAGACGGTGCGTAAAAAAACGCGCTGCAGGATTTGCAAAGGGGCGGCGGGAAGGACGGTGCAAAAAGAGAAAATTGGCTTTGATTGTCACTTTTGTTTGATTTCATTTTATTTTGGAAGGTTTGGCTAAATTGCAACGTTGAAAATATCCATTATTCTTTTTCTTTCTTTTTTTTAAGAAAAAAGTGCCCGAGTGCGCGATCCGGGGAGGAAAAACAACCAGTAGCTGCGTAAGAAGGAGAAAGTAGAATTTTAATATATTAGCCAAAATTACTCCCCAGGAAGTATTTTTAATTATCAATAGCGACAATTAATAACAATAATATCGTGTAAGAAGGGGAAGGTAGAAACAAAGATAAAAAGAGGCACCAAATTTATTCTCTCGTCGTTTATCCTTGGAGGAGATCTGCTACAAGTTGGTTTATTTTCTCTTGGAGTTGCCATTAAGTTTTATTTATTTATTCCTGAAAAATGGAGCTTGTTTTCTTGTGGTTCCTGATTAGGTGGCTGAGACGCTGAGCTCGTCGATCAGAAAGGTGGGCAGTTCGAATCCCTAGTACAGGTCTGCTGTGAGCAAGAGGCTGGATAGATGACCTCCAAGGTCCCTCCCCACTCTGTTACTGTTACTGGTTGTTGCAATTTGCTTTGTTTCCTCTTCAGCCAGCGGGGTTGCCATTGGGTTAACTTAAATTTATTCTTTTGACAGCTTGCCACGCCTCACCAAAGGGGGCAGCTGACTTCTAGGAAATAAGGGGACTGAGCTGAGGTTGGTTTGCGTGAGAGTGACATCCCTGCCCTGCCTCTTAAAACAACTGGCTTTTTCGATTGGCCTCTCCCCACCCTCCTTCTGCATGCAAAGATAATCTTATTTTACTGAGTTTTCCTTTTTTTAAAATCATGGGGCCTCCACCAATCTCCCCTGTTGCAAACAGTTGCCGTATGATGTTGGTATTGTGAGCTTCATTTGGGTAGGTGGGTTAGAGATCCTCTTTTAAAATGAGGTAATTTTGAGACCATCACTAGGAGACAGTGAGTTATAGTTATGTCTTAGGCCTAAGAGCTGGCTGGGGGACTTTGGGCCAATCACCAGGAGACGGTGAGTTCTAGTCCCACCTTAAGCATATGCCACGCATGAAACCCATCTAGGTGGCTTGCTCAAGGGTCTCTACACCCCTCCCTGCCTGGAAGTTTGGTCTGTTCCAGCGAAACCATTTTCAGATTCTGGAGGTGGCAGTTGAATCAAAGAATTCTGCTGGGGGTGGGGTGGGGGGAGCAGCCACTGGTTGGATGGTGAAGGACAACTAGAAACATGAAGGAGAACTGTAACTTTCTATGCCTGGTAGAAACCTGGTCAACGTTTTGACCTCCAGGGCTAGGAGATGTTAGGGTCCAGACCCCATATTGACGTGATCTTGGGTTCTCCTACATAGACAATATCTCCAGGGCCCCCTCCAAGAATTCCTGCTGGAACTGGACGGCAGGCTCTCCATGCTTGGTTGAAAGGTCTTCAGGATGGACCTGAAGGAACTACTAGGTTGTGTTTCTGACCCCACTTTTGTCCGTCTTTCCTGAAAGTCCATGGACAGTTTTTAGTCTGGGAGGGAGGGGATCAGTTCCCAACTTGGCTTACAAAACACTCCCCAAAATGCTGCATCATCGGCAGGTGGTTCTTACCTGCCAAAGTTAAGTGTGCAACTGGCAAAGGTTGGTGAGATTGACCAATCTCCTTCCTGAGATCTCATAGGTTCTTGCCCGAAATCTTGCGGGATTTCAGCATTCTTGGCTTGGAATCTTATGGGAGCTACGGAGAGATGGCCAAAATCTCGTGGCCATCAATCATAATTCAAAAGTACTTTAAGAAAACAGGCTGCCATAAAGGGGAAGGGGTGTGGTTCCTTCTTCTCCACCACCATTTCTCTTTCATCTCCTCTTCTGCCATCTCTTCTTCCATCACCATTCTTCCTCCTCCATCTCTTCCTTTTCCGTCTTCTTCTCTTTCTCCATCTCCTCTTCCATCTCCGCTTCCTCCTCCTCCATCTCCTCCTTTTCCATCTTCTTCTTTTTCTCCATCTCCATCTCCTCCTCCCCCTCCTTTCTTAAAATGTCCCTGAAATCAAACTTGAAGCCAACCATGTTGATCTTCCTCTTGAAATCCGGTTATGTATGTTTCAGTACTTCCTCAGCCGATTCTTATTTATTTCATGAATAAAAACCCGTATGCTTTGATTTTGAAACAGGCCGAGGAGAAGCAACCATTGGGCTGGGCGTGAAGGAGTCCTTTCTGGATGACCATCGGAAAGAATGCCGTTTCTTCATGGCTTCCGTAGAATCATCTTCGAATATCAGCCTTTAGTAGATGCAATCTTGGAGTCTCTGGGATTACAAGATCCCGAAAATCAGGAGTTGCCGGAGAGGTAAGCAGTTTTAAGGACAAAGATCTGCACCTCCATCACTGTCTGGTTTGGTTCTGCAACCCAACAAGTCAGCTTTCATGGCGAAGGTGACTAGAACTCACAGCTCCTGGTTTCAAACCCTTAAAGTAAATTGGCTTCCATGCTACATCCAAGCTAGACTTTGTATTTCCTCACATAAAAGCTAACTCACACTCTTTCCTCTGTGCTCACAGATCTCCATCTGTCTGTCTATCCGTCTGTCTATATCCTCTCCTATCATCCATCCATCTATCTATCTATCTATCTATCTATCTATCTATCTATCTATCTACCTCTCGTCCATGTTTTCCAAAACGGGCTCTTCGTTTGTGTAATAAGAAGATTTTGGTAGTTTCTCTTGTATTTATCCAGTCTTTCTCTATTTTGAAAAGCTCCAGGCCTGCGGCCGAAGACCACAGCAAATTTGTGGTTCTCCAGAAGCTTCTGGAAAGCGAATCCCATTCAGCTTTTTACCAAGAAGGTGTGAGCTACACATTGCTGAAGGTCTCGGAGCTTGGGCTGGTCCAGGTGGCTGAAGTCCTCTTGCACAATGGGGCGGACATCACCTTCGAAGGTCGGGCTTCCCACTCTCCCCTCTTTTGGCTTGGCTTTGTTTTAGGGGAGAGGGAGGGGTGTTTGACCTGGAGGGGGAAGGGGTGGGTATGTTCCTTCAATTGTGTACCCCGGCCCTGCCACTGTTCAGCGTTGTATTGCCTGTTTCTCACCAGTAGATGTTGCTGTGCCACTGTTTTCATTTCAGAATTACACCAGGGATAAGATCGTTGTAGGTAGTCCTCAGATTTACGACTGGGTCAAGTTATGACAGACCCCCCCCTCCTCCTCCCAAAAGGTACTTAATCACATGGTGCCACCCCCTCCGGCAGTCCTGTGATTGCATTTTGGCCCCCTTGGCAACTGCCCCATATTTACTATAGTCACATGACCAGAAAAATGCCCCCTAACAAACATTGGTTCACTGAAGGACTACGGCGTTAACTTAACCACCGTTGCAAAAAAAGGGGTGAACAGATCGCATTGGTTTCATGGGTGACTGTCTTGAGTTATGACCGTAATAGTCGGGCCCCATTACAGTGGTAAGTCGAGGACTTTTGGTATATACAGCAGGCTCAGGATGGATATATAAATCAAAGAAAGAAGGACTCCAATTATTGCTTTGCAGGTCACCGGGTTCCTTCTCTCCCCCCCCAGGTAAATGGGGGGGGGCATGTCTGCTGTAAAGGTGAACCCCAATCTCTATCCACCACCCACCCCTCTGCAATATCATGTCTTTAGCCTGGAAAGGTAACTTGCTTAGGATAGCTGGCAGCATTTTGGCCAGCCAGTACAGGAAGTCCTCGACTTACGATCATAATTGAGCCAAAAATTTATGTCACTGTTGTTAAGCGAGTCTTGCCCCATTTTTACCATCCATCTTGCCACGGTTGTGAAGTTAGAAACACGTTTCTTAAGTGAATCTGGCTTCCCCGCTGACAGCCGCAAAGGGGGATAGATCACGTGACCCGTGGATGCCGCAACCGTAATAAATATGAGTCAGTGGCCATCTGAATTTTGATCACGTGACCATGGGGATGTTGAAACGGTCGTTAAGTCTGAAAACGGGGTCCCGAGACACTTTTTTCAGTGCTGTCGTAACTTTGAATGGTCACTAAACGAACTGTTGTAAATCAAGGACCACCTGTATTTCTCTTCCTGGCCTCTAGCTCCACCCCTTCGTCTACAGGCCCCGCCCCTTAGTTGGTGTGCACAGCTAAGAATTGTAAAGCTAGCCTCAGGCTCCGCCTCCCAAGTTCCAAGCTCCTCCTACGGATGACATCATGCTAGACAACCGTCTCCGGGGCAACATGGCGGCTTCCCTGCGAGGCTGGCCATCTGGTCTTTTCAAGGGTCCTTGATTGTGGGGGGGCGATGGGGAGGAAGCGGGGGGCCGGCTGCTTCTTCCCCTGCTGGCTTTCTTATTGCGGGGGGACAGTGCTTAATGGTAGGCTTTCTTCTTGCCAGCTCTTGCAACACCAGCCTTGTAGAGTAGGACAGCAGATGTTTCAGAAGTGGGGGAAGGGCTTGAAGGGCCACGCCCAGCCCTTGAGAAAAGCTGGGGGCACGTGGACCGCAGCTCAGTTCGGTGTCGGTCGTGCCAGGAAATGACCACGATTTAAGATTTTGGACTGGGACGGAGGGGACGATTGAGGTGCTAATCCACCAAACACCCTGGAAACTTGACTTTCGGATCAGCCTACTTTGAAGGGCTGTTGTGGGGGAAAAACAAGGGGAGGGAAGTGCAGCCGGTCTCCTCGATCCAAGGTGGAGTATAAAAATAAAAGAAATAAAAAACGGACGGCTGTTAAGATGTGGATTGGGAAGGAATACCCCAAAATAAAGGAATATCCATCACATATGCTGGCCTTTAAAAAAATAGCTTTTTTAAAAAAAGACTTTTTTAAAGAGTAAAAAGCTAGAATATCTATAGCTCAGGGAACTTATTTAAAAAAAATAGCTTTTTTTTGCCCAAAGAGGAGAATTCAGAGATTAAAAATCTCCCTAACAAGGGAAGAGCCCCATTTGGGGTTTTGCATGTTTGAATGTTTTCTGATGAAAATTTTTCTACCTTTGATAGATCCGGTCACCTATTACACAGCCTTACACATCGCGGTGCTACGAAACCAGCCTGACATGGTTGAACTTCTGGTGCAGCGCGGCGCAGATATCAACCGCAGAGACAGGGTTTGTAGCCAGCCAAATCTGGTGTGTGTGTGTGTCTTAAAACAACAACTCCTGGATTTTTCTGATGGTTCTGAAGTTTGGCAATTCCAATCCATGTAGGCATAGCTGAGAAGGTGGGATAGGAAGATGGGGCTCTGTCAATAACCCCCCCCCCCGCATGTCGATGGAGGATAAAACAAGGAATGGGGTGGGTGAGCCACATTTGGGGGGGAGGGTAGAAGAAAGGGGAAGGGATGGTACATGCTTGCAACACCCTATAATTTTCGTCCCTGGAATAACCGTGCAAAATCAGCAAAAAACTCTAGCGCAAATGGGGTGGTTTTGTATGGGGACTTAGGGTCCCCTTAAAACGAGTCAAAACAGGTCCCCAAATGGAGCCGCTGGGGGAGCGACACCCTCCCCCTAAGCCGAGTGGGTGTAACTGGGGGAGTGTAGATGAATGGGCTGAATTGGAGGGCGGAGTTAAATGTCTCATCAGCTTGGAGTCTCTGCGCCGCCACAAAAGACCCAAGACCGACCTTCCTTGTATCCTCTTGACCCTTATCCTGGTGCCAATTTGGCTTTAACCATTAGTTAACCAGATTCTTATATATGGGTAGTAGAGATAGTCTTCGACTTACGACCACAATCGAGCGCAAAATTTCTGTGCTAAGCAAGACAGTAGTTAAGGGACAAGATTTTTGCCCCGTTTTGTGGCTTTTCCTGCCATGGATTCATTAAACAGGTTTGAAGAGGTTGTGCGAATGCACAACGGGTGACTTAGCTGGCTCGGGGTCACCTTGTTAGAAGCCCGGGGGGCAAAGTCAGCTCAATGCATTCATTCCAGGAGTAAATTTAATGGCAAAGCATCGATTTCAGGCCGAAAGACTCTTAATATTCCGCCCTCTCCTTCTCCAATTGTTCTTAAGATTCATGAAAGTAGTCCTCTGGATCTAGCCAGCGAAGAACCAGAACGCTTGCCTTGTCTGCGGCGTCTCCTAGAACTCGGGGCCAATATCAACGCCGCTGATAAACATGGTTAGTGGTTCTACTTTTTTTTTCTTTTTAAAAGCAGGAAGTAACGACACTCAGGCGGGTGGGCGGAGCCTTGCGCCACCATCACTACCGGTTCTCCGAACCTCCTGCCACAATCGCTACCGGATTGCCCGATCCGGTTCGAACTGGGAGCATTTCACCCCTGGACACCGTCCAGATTCGAGGAACCGTGGAATTGGCTTCTGCCTTGTCGTATTTTCCCTCTTCCCACCTCTTCCGCTCTTCCTCTAATTCAGCGGTGAAATGCAATTTTTTTTCCTACCGGTTCTGTGGGCGTGGCTTGGTAGTGGTGGGGGTCATGTGACTGGATGGGCAAGCATTTTTTTTACTACCTATTCGCCCGAACCGGTAGTAAAAAAATGCTTTAAAAAAGTTCCGATGATCACAGCTGTGCCGCTCGATTGTTGGAACCTTTTTTTTTTACTTTTTAAAGCATTTTTTTTATGCTGTAGAATTTTACCCCTGCTCTAATCCCTCTCTCCTTTTGCTTCAGGAAAGACCGCTTTGCTGCATGCGCTGGCCAGCAGCGACGGGGTTCAAATCCATAACATCGAAAACATTCGCCTTTTGTTGGAAGGAGGTGAGTTGCTTCCCACCCATCCTTCTGCAGGGTTATTTTGGGGGGAAATCCAAGTTCTACCCAGTTTTCAAGCAGAGCTTTGAGGAAGGACGAATTTCCAGGTTTGGGTGCAAGGAAAAAAATTGGATTTTCTGCTTGTGCAGAAAAAGTTCTTGTGTGATTTCCCCCCCCTCCCCCTTTGCTGTTTCTCCACCTTAGGAATTAGCAACCTGTGGCTCTGGAGCTGCATGTGGCTCTTTCATCCCTCTGCTGCGGCTCCCTGTCGCTGGTCGGCTCCACAATTGATAGGGTTTTCGGTTAGGATGCTGCGCTAGGAGGAGACTATGGTAGGGGAACCGAACTTCTGGTCGGCTCCAGAATTGAACAGGGGTCTCCTGGTTAGGACCTTTGTGGCTCTTTGAGTATTTAAGGTTGCCTACCCCTGCTCTACCTGGAGGGATGAGAATTCGCTTCTAAAATCTCTTTCAAAGATGAAGAGAATTGCCCCAATTTAGTGACGGGAGGGTAAAGGAGGACAGGTAGTCCTCGAGTTAAGACCACAATTGAAGCAGGACGTCTGTGGCTAAGCAAAGTTGCTCGTCCGACTTTGCAACCATTTTTGCCAAGGTTGTTAAGTGAATCACAGCAGCTGTTAAGTTAAATCATTCCGGACAAACAGCTATCTAATCTCTTCTTAAAAACCTCCCGTGATGGAGCACCCACAACTTCTGGAGGCAAATAGTTTTGTTTGCAGATCATTACCCAACTAGGTAACAAGAGCACCAACAACTCCAGTGTGGGAGTAACCGTAACTTCATGAGGCAAGTCGTTCCACTGGTTAATTTTTCTCACTGTCAGGAAATGTCTCCTCAGTTCTAGGTTGCTTCTCTCCTTGGTTAGTTTCCATCCGTTGCTTCTTGTCCTGCCTTCAGGGGTTTTGTAGAATAGGTTGTCCCCTTCTTTGGGGCAGCCACTCAAATATAGTAGCAAGCTGTCCAAAGACTTAAAAAAAGATGGCGCAAATGTTTAATTTGCAAGCTCTGCCAAGTCTTCTTTTAAGGGCGGTGCCCCAGTGGTGACCAGTATTCCATAGCCACCCACCCACACCCACACCCGTGCAATGAACCTCCCCGTTTTCTTCCCCCGGCCTCCCCAGGCGCAGACGTCAAGGCCACCACCAAGGACGGGGACACCGTTTTCACCTTCATCATCTTCTTGCTGGGCGAGACGGTGGGCAGCGACGCCGAAGAGGCCAAGATGATCCACCGCTTCTGTTTCCAGGCCACACGGCTGCTGATGGCCCACGGCGCCAACCCCAGCGAGTGCCCGCCTTACGAGTCTCTCACCCACCTCTGCCTCAAGAGCTTCCGGCTGCATTTCCCGCTGCTACGCTTCCTCCTGGAGTCGGGGGCTTCGCACAGCTGCTCCCTCCACGGGCCCACCTGCTGGTCCGGCTTCGACATCATTTTCGAGCGCCTGTGTTCCCATCTCAGCGAATCCGAAGACGACAGCTTCTCCATCGACTTGTTGCAGAAAGCCGAGACCGCCCTGGAGCTGATGATGGCCAGCGGCCCGGTGGTCAAGCTGCCCAGCAACTTCCAGATCGACCTGAGCCACTGCCGGTACCACCAAGAGAAGATCCAAGCGCTTTTCGGGAAACTGAAGCAGCTGGAGAACACTCCGCCAACCTTGAAGCACCTGTGCCGAGTCTACCTGCGGCAGTATCTCCAACCTTGGCCCGTAGACGTCAAGGTGAAGGCCCTCCCTCTGCCCAACCGCTTGAAGAGGTACCTCCTCATAGATCCAAGTGCATCTCTGGAGCAGGTGTGACCTCCTGGGACGAGAAGTGGACCTTGGATATTTGCCATCCCGGATCTCCTCGTTGATAACCAGCGCACGTATGGCAAGATCTCCGTTCAATGTTCAACAGCCGATGACGTGGTGTATATACCGTGTCTGCGGCAGCACATTTGAATGGTGGGTAGGTGGGAGCGGGCTGGGGGCACCGAGAATTTGCAACGGAATCACATCCCCACGGCAGCTGAACTGGCGGGAAAAATCCTTTGACGAGTTGTGTACCAGCCGAGGAAGAATTTGTCCCTCTTGCGCCAAAGGATTGTGAGGTTGCGTAGGCTTATGTTGGAGCCCTACTGAACATCCAGGGTTGAGACAGGCATGCCAACATCTGATTAAAAGAATGCACCTAGGCTCTTTGCATATTGTCGTGTTATGGATAAAAACATTGTTCCGGTTTGTGATCAATCTATGACAGGTAGTCCTCGCTTACTGACGATAATTGGGATTGGGAAGTCTTTTCCACTAAGCGAGTCATACCACATGACATCATACGAGTTCAGTGACTTACACTGGTAGTTCCAGAAATCCTAGTTGCCCTTGTTAGCCAAATCTCATGTGGTCGTTTTCGACATCCCGCCATCTTCCCCATTGACTTTACAAACAGGTAAATCCTTGACTGAAGGAAGTTTGATCATGTGACTATGGACATGCTGCAACGGTTGTGTGAAGTAACCACAATTTCTGGTCGCTTCAACCGTTCCAGTGGTTGATTCTTTTCATTGTCAGAAATTTCTCCTTAGTTCTAGGTTGCTTCTCTCCTTGGTTAGTTTCCACCCGTTGCTTGTCAGGTGCTTTGGCCAATAGGTTGACCCCCCTCCTCTTTGTGGTAGCCCCCCCCAAATATTGGAACATTGCTATCATTTCGCCCCTATTTCTTCTTTTCTGTAGACTAGTTAAAGGTTCCCCTCGCACATAGGTGCTAGTTGTTCCGGACTCTAAGGGGCGGTGTTCATCTCCGTTTCAAAGCCAAAGAGCCAGCGCTGTCTGAAGTCGTCTCCGTGGTCATGTGGCTGGCATGACTCAACGCCAAAGGCCCACGGAACGCTGTTCCCTTCCCACCAAAGGGGGTCCCTATTTTTTTCTACTTGCATTTTTTACGCGCTTTCGAACTGCTAGGTTGGCAGAAGCTGGGACAAGTCACGGGAGCTCACCCCGTTACGCGGGACTAGAGATTCGAACTGCTGAACTGCCGACCTTTCGATCGACAAGCTCAGCATTTTAGCACTGAGCCACTATGTCCCTTTCCTTTCACCAGACTAGACGTACCCAATTTAAGATACCCAATTCAGGGTCTTCAAACTGCAATTCTTGACCCCCAAGGCTGCTGTTGTATAATCCTAATTGACCGTGAGTTTTAAGAAAAACTTCCTGTGTTTTTTTTTTTTAAATTGCAAAGCAAAATGCAGCATCTCGAGCCCGCTCGTATTTTTCCCCCTTTTCCTCCTCGTCCTCTTTTCCTCTTGGGTCATTTCGGATTGTTTGGAAACACAGGGATTGTTCTTAAACCCATCTGGGGGATTTTTGTGTGTGGTTGTTTTGGCTGAAAGCATGGGAGCAAAAGAAACTCGGAACAAACCATGATGGCAGATTCTAGAGATTCAATTCGGCAACTAGCCTGCACCATACAAGGTGTATTCTTCAGGTCTTTTTTTTTTTTTCCCAACCATCATAACAAACCAACATAGGACACTACAATCAGGCTTACCTTTACTTCCCCTGTCCCAGTCTGTTTTTGCCACCCAGGGACACAACCATCATATTTCCCTCCCTGCTCCCCACCTCTTTTGAGACCCCCTAGCCGATCTCGCCTCTTGGCCCTTCCCTCCTGGACCGCTGGCCACCGTGGTGTGTCCTGGAGCACCACGGGAATGCTTCCTGGATCTCCTTCACCTCATGGCTAAGGTATAGACGTGATAGATCTCGTCTGGAAAGTTCTCCTGCTTCTCCTGGGCCAGAAGACTCAGCCCAGCGTGGCGGATGATCTTACAAACCACTTCCAGGTCCCGGCAGACGCTACTGTCCACTTCGTCCATGATGACCCCTTCTTGGGCCATGTTGTCCTTAATGACGATGATGCCATTGGGGCGGAGTCCCAGGCGACACCTTTGCAGGAAGTGCAAGAGGTGCTCGTCCGTCAGGTGTCCTGTTGTGGGGAAGGAGAAACGGGGATGCTGAGAGCCTAGCGGAATCCAAGTGGGTCAGTCTTGCTAGGTAGACCAGACAGCAAACGTAATTCTATTTTATTGTCAAAGCTATATTGACGGACTCTTCCTACCTGTCTTGCTCAGTGAGACAGGTAGGAAGTGAGTTTTGCCCCACAAAAGTACTAAAGTCTGAAAGTACAAATCTCCCGCTGTCTCCATTACAGCCTGAGAAACTATGGAGGGTTCCTTTCTGAATTTCTTTCTCTGCCCATTGTGCAGCTCTGGGCTATGCTGTCTCTTATCTGGTTGTTCTCTAAAGCTGCATTAACAGAATTTTGCACATATGAAATTGGGAAATTTGTTTGGCCACTCCTGCGAGCGTCACTTACCAATTACCCACTGAATCCAAATAACGTCGTAGGTGTTAGGCTCCGGGCTGAAGTCTTGCAACCCACAACAGAAGTAATTTCGGACCCTTTGGCCTTCGGTCCCGAGGTAAGTCCTGGCTTTGTTCAAGAAATCTTCTGTCACGTCCACCATGTCCACAGATTTGAAAAGAGGCAGTAACAGACGCTTTGTGATCCGTCCGATGCCAGCACCACAGTCTAAGGCCAAGGCTGTGCCAGTTCTGTTTGGCCCGTCCTAGACCAAAAACAAGAAAAAGTCCATGAGGGCTACAAACTTGACCCTCAAAAGCAAGCTATGTTTTTACTCTTCTAGTCGTCTGTCCATCTTAAAAGTTGCTGTGTTCTCTGGAACACAGAACAGCAGCGAGAATCTTCCCTCGTTGCACAGCTGGGGGGAGAGAGGGAGAGACAGAGAAGAAGAAGAACTAGAAAGAGAGAGCGGAAACGGAAAATCTTCCTCACGAAATTGTGTGTTTGTGTGTTTGAGAGAGAGAGAGAGACAGAAAGAAAGAGAAAGAGAGGAAATAGAAATAAAGAGAGAGAAAAAGAAATAGAAAGAGGAAATAGAGATGAGCATGATAGAGAAAGAGAAAAAGAGAAGAAAGAGAAATAGAGAGAGAAATAGAGGAAATAGAAATAATGATAGAGAAAGACAGAAAAAGAAAATAGAAATAAAGAGAGAAAAAGAGAAAGAAATAGAAATAAGAGAAAGACAGGAAATAAAAATAAGAATGATAAAGACAGAAAAAAAGAAAAGAAATAAGAAAAAGAAAATGAAAGACAGGAAATAGAAATAAGAGAATGATAAAGACAGAAAAAGAAAGAAATAAGAGAAAAAAAAGAGGAAATAATGATAAAGACAGAAAAAGAGAGAAATAGAAATAAGAGAAAGACAGAGGAAATAGAAATAATGATTAAGACAGAAAGGGGGGGGGCACAGGCCATCCCAGGAGTCCGCCAACCCCATCCCCTCGTAAAATCTTCTCACCCTCAAAAACCGGTGCAAAAACTTTCTGGAGCTGCTGATGTCGATACTGGAAATATGCCCGTAGCCCCCCAGCATCCCGTCCACGGTGGGGGGGACGTCCCTCCAATATTTTTCGGCCTTGGAGTAGAATTCCAGCTCATCTTCCACCACGTCACTGGCCATGGTTGTGGCTTTCCGTCTTCCTCCCGAGCAGCCAGGCGGGTTTTCCCCCTTTTTTAAGAAAGCAGGAGAAGGGGTTAAAAAAACAAACAAACTGCCCAATTCATTCTGAAGCCGGATAAAATGCAACTTCTTCCTGTTTTAGGTGCAAAAAGAAAAACAACAACCACCAGTCTGTTCTGACCTAGGTTTCCTTAGAAAGTATACAGCACAATCTTAGTCCCGGCAAACTTCTTTTATTCATACGGCTGTGAATTACTTTCATTTAGTTCGAAAGGCTTCACAAACAGTATTTCAGAGGAGTGTTTACAAACACCCACCTTATCTCCCTTGGAATGGTGCCAGAGAACTAATTGCCAGACGCAGGGCAAGGCCAAACTTAGCACAGAGTCAAACAGAACTTTTCCAGAGCTTTTACCGACCAGATGAACTAATTGCTTCCTGCAAAAGCTCACATCCCGTTCGCTTCTCTTTTACGTCTTATGGGAGGGCCCAATCATCTCCAAGCCTTACTCCCAAGTCGATCCTGTTTCCTTAATCGTTCCTGTATCCTGGCAGCTCTGTGCATGCGCACACTGGGAACAGGCTCACGCTGTTCTTCTGCCTTGCTGATGTCAGACTCCGGAGGCAGCAAAGAACTACCAGATAGCCTTGGCCCCCTCTCTGCCTCCGACTCAGAGCCCTCGTCCCAGCCTTCCCCAGAGTCCAAGACTGACCCATGTTCCACCCCAACCTCCTCACTGTCTGAATCCGGCCACGGGATTCGCACCCATGTCCCAAGGTGTCGAATCGGGTATCACTCCATCAGTCAAATCTTTGGGACAGGTCATCGATCAGCAGAGCTGAGTTGGGGTGCCTGGTCCCCATTTGGTTTAGGTTAGAGGGTGAACCCCTCATTTTTGCCAGCCATTTCGATGTCTGGCAAAGCAATTTGGCTGCAGTTCTCGGCCCCTGAAAAGCCGGGGTTCCCCAATTTTATCCAAATCCAATGCTTCTCCCCTCCCTTTCCCACCTCTACCTCCCCAACAGCTAATATTCAGTGGTATTAAACAAAATGCGACATTCCCTATGCCAGTTATAATGGGCTGCTGTTTTCCTTTACCCTCCCCTTCTGGCTTTCTTTGCGTGTCGTTGGGTTTTTTAAAGTTTTTAATTGATTAGCAAGCCGGTTAGGTAAAAATAGCTGAAATAAATCATGCCCTGCTTAATAACCATGGATTGATCTGTGACTGTCCCCCGAGGAATTTAATCTGCTTTTTAAAGCCATTGCGATGGAACCAAAGCTCTCCAAATCACATTTTGTTTCTTCTAATCCAGATTTCTTATTAGGGGAATTTTGCAGAGAAGGGGGTGTGAAAGGCTGGGGCTTATGGGGGTTTGACTACGCACTGTGTATAAAATGCAGACTGTGTTGTAACTGCCAAAATATGTGTGACCAAGACGGACGGGCCTTGGGGACTAAATATATACATTCCTTGGGAGCGACGCCATTCCGTGCCCAATTATGGAAACAGGCTGAGGGCCGTGCCAACATCCTTTCCCTACAAGCCCACGATGAATTAACAGTCCTGCAAAGCGAGCGTGAACAAGCCAGGTTAGCAGCATTCATGCCAAATGCTAAACCAGGGTTTGCCAAGCAACCCAGTTTATAC